GGGGGTCTATTTGGAAACAGCCTCTCTACCCCACGGTAGGGATAAGGTCTGCGTACACACTACCCTCCCCAGATCCCACTTATGGGATTATACTGGATTATTGTTGTTGTATAGTTTTCAGGTTTATATGATTCTCTTGTTTATGCATGATGTGAACAATTATTTTCAAGATTTGAACCTTATTTTTTCTTTTGTTGCGGCATGATTGTAAGACCAAATAGCATGTAAGAAAACAATACTTTGAAATTTGAAATTTTTTCCAGGAAAAACGGTTTCGTACATGCTATAATTACTTCAACACAATCAGGAAAAAAAGGTGACTTAGTTCTAGATCGAAACCCTTTTTCCTATAAGGTGAAGAATACAGTCAAACCTCTCTATAACAATCTCGTTTGTTCCAGATATTTTTAGATGTTATAAGGGATTGTTACTATAGAAAACATATATTATAACAAAACATAAAATTTGGTCCCGAAAAAACTTGACTTTTATAGTGAAGTGTTGTTATATAAAAATGTTATAATAGAGTACCTTATTTTCTCGTGCTAATGGAAGCCAATTCCCAATTCCACCACCCTATATTTGCTGTCTAGGCCATGTCAACATAGTTTTTCTCTTTCTCTGTCTTGACCTTCGTAGGTGTCTTTAGTTCATGGCCTACCCCAACCCCCAAAATTAGAAGAAAGTGTGCGCACAGAACAGACAAATATATATGGGTCAAACATTAATGACAAAAATGAGATGAAAATACTAAAAGAACCCAATTTGTGTGATGCCGTTCTGGTAAAATGCAAAAGCCCGTCAAACGAATTAAGAGATTCTAATAAAAAACCTCATGATGCAGATATCAAGAATCAGGAAAATATAATAGTAAATAGCAAGAACTATGCTATGTTCGCCAATGAAATAATCATGGAAGAGCAGGCGCAAGAATTGTGCTGGTGCATTGTGTTGCATCGCCACTATTCTCCGCATCGTAGACCATACGATGAGTTTTGAGCCTGCCCCGTTACTTTTACATGCATTCCATGCTTATGATGTGCGAAAGTATAACTTGGACTTGATGCAACGTGTATGTTGGAGGTGTTGAGATGTTGGATGATGTTTGGGACTGTCACGCCTCCTTTTCCCGGGTGAATTGTAAAGAAATGAGTTTTTTCAATTTAAGTGACATTATTGAAATGAGATTCTTTATTTTAATTTTAAGAGTCGCCACTTGAAATAATTATTTACGGCTTTCCAAGTCGCCATTTATTTTAAATCCCAAATCAATGAAATTTGACTCTGTTAAATTCTGCGAAACACAGAAGACCGGGTAAGGAATTCTGCTAACCCAGAAGAAGGAGCGAGTCACTCTCAGATTCTGTGATTAGCGCGGTCGCTTTACAATTAAACTCGGCTTAATTAACTGATTATTACGTGTTTTACACTTATTGTGCGTTTTTACCCTTTTACCGCTTTTAAATATATATATTTGGCCATTTTAAGTATTTATGGAGTTTATTTAAACGAGTTACAATATTTTAGTCGTTTTATACACACAGCAAATCGCGCCGCATGAAACGCACCCACAATTTATGATATGTTTGTTTTTATTATTACTTTGAAGTTGGGGTCAAGTCACACAAGCGTCACCTTGAATTTGAGATTATATGTCAAAGTTATGCCATGGAACCGTACCATAACCATAACGAATTATTAAAACGCGCATAAAGCACTACTCATGTTTAAGAGTGGATTAATTTCCTAAGTCCGAGGTAACAATAAAGGTCATGAAGTTATGGAATGTATTGTCGATGACATGTATATTAGAGAACTTGTGGGTTTTAATGGCAAGAATTAAAGTCATGTAATTATTTTTGAAGTGAGTTGAATAAGATAGTTTGCTGAAATTGTCGAGGAGATTCGCGTGAATACTAGTACTGCCTTTAGCGAGTCTGATCAACAGGTTTCTTATTAACTAATTGATGTCAACATGGATCAATAAATGTAAAAATAGTAAGGGCTAACCAGTTTTCGGACTGGTCATTTAAAAATAGCCAGCGTTTGCAAAATTATTGAAAAATAGCCACTATTTTGCTGCAACATGGAAAGTTCCAGCATAATATACTGGAGACCGGTGCACCTGTATATGAACTTCCAGCATATTATGCTGAAACTCCAACACGCGGAAAGTTCCAGTATAATATACTGGAGATTGGAGCACCGGTGCTCCAATCTCCAATGTATTATACTAGACTGGTATATTATACTGGAACTTCAGTATAGTATACTGGAGTTCCAGTATACTTATGCTGGAACTCCAGTATAATATACTGGAGTATTTTTTTCGTATTTTGAATAGTATTTTCGTTCAGATTTATCTTTACATGAAAAGTGGCTAAATTTCGATTACTTTTGAAACTGAGGCTATTTTTGAATGACCACTTGTAAATTTGGCTATTTTTGAATTTCTCCCTCAATAAATGGGTGATATTATTATGGGCAGAATTTGCATCTATACCGCCCTTTTGGATCACCTTTTAGCTTATACCGGCTTTGCAAAAAAAAATTGCAAGTGTACCCACTTTTCGCGTAACTTCATACATACGGGCCTGAAGTAGCAAAAATTTATGTCTGAAGTTTGAACTTTAGAATGTTTTGCCTGAAATGTAGCAAAACTTCAGATATTTTTGCATGAAGTTTGGCCTGATTTGCAAAGGCAATCACGCAAACTTCATAGTGCAAATGGCAAACTTCAGTTTTGGCTGAAGTTTTTGTTTGTAATTGCTGAACTTCAGCATTCTAGTAGCTGAAGATTTGTTCTGTATTTGCTAAACTTCAGCATGTTTTAGCTGAAACTTTGTTCTATATTTGCTAAACTGCAACATGTTTTAGCTGAGGCTTTGTTATGTTTGTGATGAACTTCAGCATTCTAGGGCTAAAGTTTGTTTTGTATTTGGTGAACTTCAGCATTCTTAGAGCTTAAGTTCTAAACAACAATAAACTTAATAAATCATGATCAGCAGCGATTGATGCTGTTCATTTCAAAGATTAAAGAATGAAAAATATTTTCGACATGAAAACAAGTTACTACAGATAAATTAGAACCAAAAACCAATGTGCCTGTAAAGCTAAAATATCTAAGAGGTTAAATTATTGTGAATAAGACCAAACTGAACATAATGGAACAAGCAGATATATATAAATCATCAGGTTAGAACGCATAACAATATCTCAAGCTTCAGCATTCAGAAAACGAAGGAGGAGAATGGGAGGAGAAAGAGGACTGAAGTTGTTTAAACAGTGGGTACAAGTTAAAAACTTTTTTAAAAGGTGGGTATAGGTTAAATGGGGGCGACCAAATAAGGCGTCCCGTGCAATTTTTACGCTCAGATCAGAACCCTTTATAGGTTACTTTGGGTGAAAATGGGCTTTCACTACTAAAAAAATCAGGTTTTAGCGACGGACAAATTCTGTAGCTAAACAGAAAAATTCATCGCTAATCTCATTTAACGACGGATTATCAAAAGATTTTGCTAGCTACGAGCGTTTTAGCGATAGATTAGCGACGACGTTCGTAGCTAATTCCAGTTTTTTTGTAGTGTTTGGATTGAAGTCCAAATCGCCTTTTAAAGCTTTTGCACAGTCAGGCCATGTTATGTAAAAATTGCACGGGGCACCCTATTTGGTCACCCCCATTTGACCTATACCCATATTTTTAAAATTATTTAACCTATACCCTAATTTTGACAACTTCAGATCCTACGACATATGCGCTCCTTTCTTCCTCCTCTTCTTTTCCTCTTCTTCTTATTTTCTCTCTCAAACGTGCTATCATGTAAGTTACACATGTTATCGTTTCTGGAAATTGGACAAAGCGACAAATCACGAAGAAAGAAAGACTCGCCACTCCCTCTCAAACATTAATACATCTGAATACAAAGTACGTAAATAATAAAACAAGAGTTTATATTCAAAACTCGAAGAAGCATCAACTGAAGTTTGGGACTGCAGGGCCAAACTTCAAACATTACCAGGTTAAATTTCGTCTGAAGTTTGCAACTATCATGCCAGGAAAAATTATCTGAAGTTCAAATATAACAAGTTAATTTTGTCTAAAGTTTGCATTACAAATTAGTATGAAGTTTGCACTACAAACTAAAGAACTTCAGACTAATTTATCTGAAGTTTGCACTACAAACTGAAGAACTTCAGACTAATTTGTCTGAAGTTTGCATTATGAAATGAAGTTTTTTTGATTGCTTTTGCAAATTAGGCCAAACTTCAGATGAAAGTATCTGAAGTTTACTTTGATAAGGTCATACTTCAGGCAAAAAAATTTGAAGTTCAAACTTCAGACATAAATCGTTGCTACTTAAAGCCCTGTATGTCTGAAGTTACCCGAAAAGTAAGTAGGCTTGCAATTTTTTTTCCAAACAGATATAAGTAAAATTGTGACCTAAAAATTGTATATAGATGCAAATCCCCCCATGTTATGAGCCTTTTAAAACTTCCGCACAATCAGACCAAGTTATGAGCCTTTAAATGGGCTAACTTATTGGTTGGCTTATTGATGTATAGTTAGGCGCATTTGTATCTATACTCATTTTTTGGGTCACATTTTAACTTGTGCCCGCTTTGCAAAAAAAATTGTAAGTGTACCCACTTTTTCGCGTAACTTCAGCATACGAGGCTGAAGTAGCAAAGATAATCACGAAAAACTTCAGTATTCTAGTAGACGGGACTGAAGTAGCAAGTTTTTGTTTTTGTAACTGACGAACTTCAGCTCTAGAGCTGAAGTTTTTGTTTTGTAACTGGCAAACTTCAGCTCTAGAGCTGAAGTTTTTGTTTTGTAACTTGCGAACTTCAGTTCTAGAGCAGAAGTTTTTATTTTTGTAACTGGCGAACTCTCTAGAGCTGAAGTTTTTATTTTGTGGCAGGAACAACTTCAGCTCTGAAGTTGTTTCTGCCTAGATATAGCTTTTTCACACTGATTATTGGATAATTTTTTAGTAGTGTGTTCCTAAATGGAAAGGCTTTTGGCTATTATCATAATGATTCTTGCTCTCCTTAACAAAACTTGAATAGCTATAGTCTAATACACCTTGCATTTTACCTTTATTTACTTTTCGGTTTGTGTCCCCCTTAACTTCTTGTAAAATGTTATCACAACGATTATTATCCTCCTTCAACAAAGCTTGCATATTTTTACATTTATAAAATTCAATCATCAATAGGTCTTACATCTTACCATAATGATCAGCAGCAAGAAGAGAGGAGCATCGCCATCAGGAAAGTAAATCTGTTGAAGGGATTCCGGCAGATTGAAGCTACTCGTCCCTTTGAAAAGTTGCAAGTTAGAGTCACCTTCTTCTCCAGCACACAATCTGTGCAGTGTTTAAAGAGGTTGAGGGCGGATATAACTTTGAGGAGGAGAAGGAGGAGGAGAAAAGGGGCTAAAGTTGTTTAAAAAATGAGTACAAGTTTAAACTTTTAAAAAAAAGTGGATATAAGTTAAATGGGGGCGACCAAATAGGGCACCCCGTGCAATTTTTACGTGAAGGCAAGCAACTATAGATTCAAAAATTAGACATGTAATTACACAAACTGACAAACTTAATCATAATAACAACTGAGAACTTTAAATTTGTTTCAATGTAAATTTAAGGGAAACTACCAGCTATGTCCATTTATAAGTAACTCATTACAAAAATTGATTAATTCATAAAATATTACTAATATTAGCCAATTAACTATTTGTAGCAAAAAATATCAAATTTTTGCTTTCTTTTGAATGAGTGCTATTAGAATAGATTGTGTACATCTTAAGGAGCTTGAATCTCAGTTTTTAGATGATTTGGTGAAGTTTTGAGGTGATTTGAATTGAAAATTCGAAGTAAAAACTGAATATGAAAAAAAATGATATGTGTATCACACTGTATATCATTTATGTATCACACATGTGTCATATTTGTATCAATTGTGTATCACATGTATATCCACGTATACTTGTGTGTGAGATACATGCATGATACATGTTTGATACATATGTCGCAGAAGAATTTTTTAAACTTGATTTAACTACGAATTTTGATACAAAACCAGTCCAAATTACCTCCAACCTTCCTCAAATTTTGTTTATTGACTTATCCATATGTTTTCAATGAATTGCAACTATACCCATTGAAAAAGTTCCTTTTTTTGCTTAGATTTTTGGAATATTATATTTTTTTTTTTTTGTATTTCATCACCTTATTCACTACCTCATCCATAAAATTTCCTTTCCGTCTTGCATCTAATGTTGCTAATCATGCTTAAAAACATGGAAGGTGATTTTTGCATGTGATTCTTTGAGAGAAAGAACCTTATTTATTTAGTTTTTCAATTTTTATATGTGTTTGGCTAGTTTTAGTAAGTTTATGACTAATGACTAGAGGTTAATAAGTTGAGACTTATTTGAAACATTTGTGTAAGTTTCCCTAAATTTAATACTATCATAATGACTATCCTTAACAAATACAGTCTCGAACGCTAGAAAATTTTTTTAAAAAAACATGCGTTTTGCTTTTAGATTCATCCATCATTGCTTGCAGAAATGCATGATTATTTTTAAACTCAATTCAACATTGCCTGGAATTTTCAATCAACAAATTTGAGCTACTGGTGATCAAAATCATGGATTAAGCATTTCTAAACTTCAAAAAATACCTCGCAAGCCATGATCAGGTTATTATTCAACTGAAAAAACACTAAAGGAATCCTAGGTCAAGTGACAATAAATTCAGTTCTAGTACAAGAGATTCACACAATTAGCTATCAATTTGATTGAACTGTAAATCAGCAAATATAATTCTCCGTGTAACCAGCAATTTCAAATTAAGTGATAGCTTATACGAGCAGTTTAACAGCTGTGATGATCCGATAGGTTATTTATAGTTTTAACCCTTTATTCTCTCTTTTGAAACCTTGAATAGCTACGTTTAGCCTTTCTCGATTGTCACACCTCTTTTTTACCAAACTTCACTATACCCTCTTAAATAAATAAATAAATAAAATTTAGCAAAGCTCGAAAGGGTTTTTCAATCTTGAAAGTGACAAAGGATAGTGTTCAAAAGGAAATAACTCAGAATCGCCACCTAGCATTATTTTTTTGGTGTGCCAGGTCACCATTTTTTAGAAAATATTTTTCCTTTTAAAAACACTTGGACTCAAAACTAAGTCTGCACCAGAGATTCGGGTAAGGGGGTTCATTTGACTCGGGGAGAAGGTGTTAAGCACCCCCCAGGTCCCGTGAAGGTCACGGTTGCGCACTCGATCTAGTTGGCTTTTAGAATATTCAAGTTGGTGTAAAAATAACACAGAAAAGAAAAAAAAATAAACACACAAAAGGCTCGAGGTCGTCCCTACCTAATAAAAGAAAATGAAAAGGAAAAGGAAAGAAAAGTCCTAAGCTAACCTATACTACGACTTCTCCACCATGCTCATCAAGGCCTCCAAAATATTTACATAGTTCTTCACGGTATACCCCGGATAATAATATTTACAAACTTCATGGGGCATTCCCCGGATAAATTTAATTAAGGAACAACCTCTCACCTTAAAACTAACAAATATTCTAAGGCTTGCCTACCCAAATGTGGTCAGCCTAAGCATGCTCCTAGCGAGTACTAACATCGATAAAGAAGATAAAAGGAACTATAAAAGAACTAAGTAAAGGAACACATCAACTCATGCCCATGTCTTGTTTTTTAACTTTTATTTTTATTAGACCGGGCCCGACGCCAAAAGCATGGAGACAAATCAATTGCTAATGGGCATCGGTCTTTTCCCACTCCCCCGCGACCCAACAATCATACAAAATGCCAATCAAGTAAGGGAGAACGAATTCCAAATCACACAAGGAAAAGAGCATATGGAATGACAACGAAATAAAGGCATGGTGGATTAAAATATTATAAGGGACATATAAATCTAGCCAACCCGCCTCACTTTTTCACTTTTCTGTATGTTGTTATATCACAACATGAATGAGCAGTGGCTTAAACATTCAAGTTGGTCACCTTAGAGTTAGAAAACAAAGACATCCTTAACCAAATAGTAACGACAGATGTTGCAGGAATACTAAGTGATGCTCACACCAAACAATATGTCATTTTCATAATTAACTTAACATTTTCGAACCAAGCAGGGTGCAAACCAATCTTAGAAGCCTTTAACAAAAATGTCTTGAACCTAACCATGTGGATATTGTGAGATTAACAGAAGCATACAAGCCAAAAAAACATGTCAATTCGGTCACTGTTAGTTCAAACTTCCATGCTTAACTTCACAAGGATTAACGTTTTCCTTTATCACTTAAGCGCAGGGAGATCAAGGCACACAAACAGAACATCAATTTCAGTTCTTAATGTGCAATCAAGTTAGCAAATGCCATAACTCCCATTCAGATGTAACAATCAGTCAAGCCCAAAACTATCATAAATTCGATCTGTTTACCCGTAACGAAGTAGTTCAAAAACTCAATTGAAGATCAGATTTGAAAATGTGGAAAAGATAGCGATGAGAACACATATTAAACTCATGCACAAGCTGAACAATCCACCAGAAAGCAATTAAATCAAAAACAACCAGCCACAATCACTACGAATCCATATTAATAATTTCTGAGGATCGATTCAAAATAAGAAAGTCAAGGCGAATAGGGAATGAACCTGTTGGGGCGAATTTTTCTTAAATAACAGCAGGAGATTCAGTGATAATTCAACTTCAATTTCCAGAATTCAAACGAGATACAACTTCAAAATTGGAAAGAAACCTCGAACAAGAACTCGAAACGGCACTGGAATTTCGAATCCGAACACGAACTCCAACTCGTACTTCAATCCATTTGTATGTTGTAGTCGAGATTGAAATCGAGGGAAGCAGCAGAAATTTTCTTTTTTTCTTTTCTTAATATGTATGAAAACGAAAACGGAAATCCAAAGAAGAATCTGGAAGTCCCAAAATTAAACCCTAGAACCCTTTCCTTCCGATTTTTCTCTAAATTTTTCCCCTATCTTTTCTGTTCACCCCCCAAAATCTGAGAAACCACCCCAATATATAGGGGGTCTCGAACCATCTATGCTTCCTCGCCAAGAAATCGATTTTTATCTCCAAATCCGAAAAAAGAACTCCAAAATTCCGAAAATCTCCTTATTTTCGGTAAAAATCTGGGCAGATGGAGGGTATGATTAATTTTCATTAATCATATCCTACCCTTCGTCCATCATCTACTGTTGAAAGAGATTCACATGTTAGAAAACATATCAAAAACGCGGATAAGAAAGAGTAAGGGAATATTCGAACCAAAATCGGTTATTTGTCAGGCCACATGGAAGAAAGAGAGAAGGGAAAGGGGGACAATGAATTAACTCGCTAGAATCAGTGAGTGTTCCGGCGAGTTTTGGGCGAGCGGAAGGTGGCAGAGATGAGGGGCGCCGTTTTAGGTTGATCTCTTTAGGATTAGGGTTTGGGAAATATGGCTTTTATATGGTAAAGAAGATAGATATGGACCATTGGTTTTATGAGATGAATGGCTAAGATTTAGAGGGGGAAATGGGGCGGGTAGATGGGTCGTTTGGGCGGATCCAATAATTAGAAACTTGAACTTTTCTTTTTTAGAAATTAATTCTAATTAATTAAAGAAAAATATATCATAATATAAAACTATATTTTTTATATATCTTTTTTTATATAAATTATTATATTCAAAAATAAAAGTGAAAATTATGGCAAAAACAAAAGTATATTTTGCTATAAAAATATTAATAACCTAAACTAAATAGAAATAAGATAAAATATGAAACTATTTTTTGTATTTTTTTTCAATGATTATATTAAAATAAAAGTAGGTTAAAAAATAATATATCTTTCCAAAATACCTAATATTGAATTAAATAGAAAAGTGAAACTACTTCTTTTTTTATATTTTTCCCTTTTTTTGTGCCTTGAAATAGAATTAAATTTAAAAATAGAGTGAACTAATATAGGAACAAGCTCAAGTAATATTCAAAAAATACTAGGACTATTAAGGGTAATTATAATGCACGGATCAAAAATTACATGTCTACAGCTGCCCCTCTTTGACGGAAAACACAAAATGTTTTCAGACAAAGAACAATAAGACGTGTTTTTTATCCGATCCTTATTTAGAGAGACAAAAACTAAAAGAAAAGAGAATGTGACTGAGCCCTGGTATCTGAGCTGCCTACATATCCTTGGTTATAAAGGAATCATGCCACGTGTATTTCACAAGTGAGAAGGATGATGGAGTACCGAGGTGGAGAGTCGAGTGAAGTGCCGTCGAGGTTCCGTTCCGCGGTTCCTGCCGTCGAAATACAAGATCCTATCTACTTCTTGTCTTGAATCTCTATTTGATCTTCAACATGAGACTGAAAAGTGGACCCTATTCTTTAGGCGGACTCCTGATGCTTCTTGAACTTGCGAATTGAAAGTAACTCTGAAATGAATTCACTTGTTCTCTAGGTGGGTGCCTGATTGCCAAAACTTGACTTGAGATGACTTCCATCATTCTCCAGGTGGGCGCCTGTTGCTTACTTGAAAATCACAATAATTTTGAAATGGATTCTCTCGTTCTCCAGGTGGGCGCCTGCCGTTAAAGCTTGAAACTTGATATGGATTCTCTCATTCTCCAGGTGGGCGCCTGCGACCGACTTGAAACTTGAAATGAATTGTCTCATTCTCCAGGTGGGTGCCTGCCAACGACTTGAACTCGAAATAAATTCCCTCATTCTCCAGGTGTGCGCCTACCATTGACTTAAAACTTGAAATGACTTCCCTCGTTCTCCAGGTGGGCGCCTGATTGCCAAAAACTTGAATTGTATTCTCTTGTTATCCAGGTGGGTGCCTGATTACCAAAAACTTGAATTGTATTCCCTCGTTATAGATGGGTGCCTGATTACCAAAAACTTGAATTGTATTCCCTCGTTATAGATGGGTGCCTGATTACCAAAAACTTGAATTGTGTTCCCTTGTTATCCAGGTGGGCGCCTGATTGCCAAAAACTTGAATTGTGTTCCCTCGTTATCCAGGTGGGTGCCTGATTACCAACAACTTGAATTATATTCCCTCATTATCCATATGGGTGCCTGATTACCAAAAACTTGAATTGTATTTCCTTATTATCCAGTGGGCGCCTGATTGCCAGAAACTTGAATTGTGTTCCCTCGTTATCCAGATGGGTGCCTGATTACCAACAACTTGAATTGTATTCCCTCGTTATCCAGGTGGGTGCCTGATTACCAACAACTTGAATTGTATTCCCTCGTTATCCAGTTGGGCGCCTGATTTCCAAAACTTGAATTGTATTCCCTCGTTATCCAGGTGGGCGCCTGACATTACAACAAAATAGAAAAACAAAAGAAATTTTTCTGCCCCAGTTTGGAATTTGGGCATATCTGTGAGTGTTAATCGAATCATGTTACCTAAGAGTGATAACTTTAAAGCTAAATTATATTTTCCAAAGGAAGAACTTACGCTAAAACTTAAACTAAATCTCATTATCCAGGAGGGTCCTGAAAACTTAAAACTAAATCCCATTATCCAGGAGGGTCCTGAAAATTTTAAAACTAAATCTCATTATCCAGGAGGGTCCTGAGAACTTTTAAAATTAAATTCCATTATCCAGGAGGGTCCTGAAAAATTAAAACTAAATTCCATTATCTAGGAGGGCCCTGAAAACTCTTTTGAAATTAAATCTCATTATCTAGGAGGGTCCTGAAAATTTTAAATTAAATCCCATTATCCAGGAGGGCCCTGAAAATTTTAAATTAAGTCCCATTATCCAGGAGGGTCCTGAGAATTTTAAATTAAGCTCCATTATCCAGGAGGGTCCTGAGAACTTTTAAAATTAAATCCCATTATCCAGCAGGGTCCTGAAAGTTTTAATATTAAATCCCATTTTTTAGGAGGGTCCTGAGAACTTACCCATTATCAGGAGGGTCCTGAAAACTCTTTTGAAATTAAATCTCATTATCCAGGAGGGTCCTGAGCCATGCTCTCTTCTTGGAAGATTCTAAACAGAATTTCTTGCCCCTGTTTCATACGAATAAAATTTTGTTAGTTTGAAAACGTAGTGGTTAGTTTGTGGCATCATTGCTGAGTGCCTACTTCTGCCACTGCTATGCTTCATTCTGATTAGTTGCTTCGGGCTAGCAAGGAGTTGTTTGACCTTTTGATTGGAACTGGACCACAAAACCTCTGAATGACCTGAATCTCTCACACTCACTTGTTGCATTGTATTTCATTCTGAAAGTTACTGAATCTTTGTATTTTCTCAAAATTCAAGAATCATCTTGCCCCCTGAACTTCAATTATCAACATACTGTTCATTCCAAATCATGTCACTTGTGATGTGCTCGGCCGAACTCTGCTTTGTGCAATTTAGAAGCTGGTAGTAGGCTTTGAAATCCTTTCTTGCTTGTTCAACAAGGTCCAAATCGAAAGAGACTCATAAAGATAGACTCAAGGAGCAAAGTGAAATGATTTTTTGATAGAAGGAACAAAGGAAAATTTTGAACACAGATGACTATGTGAAGAAGAATGGGAAAAAGAAGACTTATCTGAGGGAAGCGGCCAGCTCCAATGATCATGACATGCATTTTGGATTGATCAGCCCAATCCGTCCAACCAATCATATTTTCAGTTCATGTCATGTCTTCATACTTCAAAAACCAGGCTTTCGCTGATCCAATTTCTCTGTGAAGTCATGAGCCTCATTCAACTTGTAGTGCCCTGAAGGGTTTTCGCCAACAAGCCTCTCTCATTTGTTTATCTCTCAACTCAACATCGCCCCGCGAGGGTTTTCACCAATAAGGCTCTCTCATTTTAAATTTCTCTCAGCTCATCATCGCCTTACGGTGCCCGTGAGGGTTTTCACCAATAAGACTCTCTCATTTATTCCTTTTTCCTTTATGCCCATGAGCAAAGTGTTACTCATGATGTAAATCATACCTCTATCTCGCTTGACCTGACATCCTCAAAGATTGATCGGAAGGTCTTTCTTTCGACCGTAATGTAGGCTTTTGGACAGGGTTAGAAAGAAAGGGTGGCATGGAGACTCAAAATAATTTAAGATGAAAAGGGGTTAAAATTACAACTTTTGGAATTAGATCTTTTCAAAACCAAAACTTCTGCCCCAGTTTCTTTGGGTCTGGGGAATTTTAATTTTTATTTTGATGAGACCAAACCGTAAGGCTGCCTACATATCCTTAAAAGGAATCAGGTCGAACGTAGTTCAAAAGAAAGTTGTTTGTTTTTGTTACTTTTCTTTTTTTTCTTTTTTTCTTTTGTCTCTCTCTTTTTTTCTTTTCTTTTTCATTTTTCTTATTTTCACTCATTCATCATCATTTTCATTTTTTTTCATTCTCTACTTCTGCTACTGATTCCAAAAGAGGGGTATGAAAGAAAAAAATATGGCCCAAAAGGGGTAAAAAGGATGAAAGTATTTGACTAGCGGAATAAAATGCCTTCGTCATTTCAACTTTGAACATGCCAAGTACAAAATACAACTGAAGGTAAGCAAAGAAATCATACATAGTACCTCTTAACTGCATCAGAATTGATGGCCATATCTACACATTTGTCTTCTATGTCTGTTAAATGCAAAGCACTATTGGGCAACACTCTTGTCACAACGAACGACCCTTGCCAGTTTGGGGCGAACTTGCCTTTAGGTTCCACCTGATGAGAAGGATGCGTTTCAATACCATCTGGCTCACTTCGAATTTTTGGGGACGCACATTTTTGTTGTATGCTCTTGCCATTCTTTCTGATATAATTGACCATACATACTGCAGTTAATCTTTTCTCATCAATCAAACTTACCTGCTCTAGCCGGGTTTTGACCCACTCATCATCATCAATATTAGCTTCTACGACGATCCGAAGGGATAGAGTCTCAACTTATGCAGGTATAACTGCCTCAGTTCCATATACTAGCAAATAAGGAGTTGCACCTACTGAAGTGCGGACAATAGTGCGATAGCCCAGTAAGGCAAAAGACAACTTTTCATGCCATTTCTTGGAACCTTGAACCATCTTACGAAGTATCTTCTTTATGTTCTTATTGGCAGCCTCAACAACTCCATTTGCCTTGGGGCGATACGGAGTGGAGTTTCGATGCATGATCTTGAACTGTTGGCATACCTCTTTCATCAAACAACTGTTGAGATTAGCAGCATTGTCTGTGATGATTACCTTGGGAATTCCGAAATGACAAATGATATTTGAATGAACAAAATCCACCACTGCCTTCTTGGTCACGGACTTGAAAGTTACAGCTTCGACCCACTTGGTAAAGTAATCAATGGCCACCAGAATAACCTATGCCCGTTTGACGTTGTCGGCTCAATTGGTCCAATGACATCCATGCCCTAAGCAACAAAGAGCCAAGGTGCAGACATTGTGTATAACTCAGATGGGGGAGAATGAATCAAATCACCATGTAC